ATCCATCCCGGATCCATTCATCCATCCATCCATCAGTGTACCCATCCGCAAATCCATTCGCTTACGTTCTATGTCGTCCTAGGTTTCATCCTAGACCTTTAATAGTCCTCAGAGCTAATGTCTGTTTGTTGAAACATCAGGAGACTTTACCTGACACTCTGATGGAACGTTTGCCAACATTTTGAACGTCAAAAGCGACTGCATGGAGAGAAATTTGTACATGCCTTTTTAAAAAATTTATTACCATTGAATGTGGCCATCTCTAGACGATCCACACCTTTGAATAATCCCTTCATAGCTGCTAATAATTAGCCTCTGTTGGTAGAAAGTGCGTCGTCTATTGACAAAACAAACTGACCGTACCGTGTTCTGGACTGTTCAGATATCCTCTGTTTTCCGAATAATTCCTTTATCGATATCTTTGAGTCAAAATGGGCTAGTTCTACTTCAATAAAATAACTTCCATCGTATTCCACCACAGTTGATAACGTCTAGAAGGCAAGTAGACCCCAAAGTTCCTTGAAAGAGGGCATTCAAGATATGCACTTTGACAGCCTTCTGCTTCCCTTCCCTATGAAAACCTCTTTTGATGTTTCCACTTCCTATCCGAAGTCAAGCATCTCAAATCCCTGATCCCATCAATTCAAAGAAGATCAATAAAATAGAATAGTTTCCATTCTTAGGGTCTGTTACAAAGAAAGTCGGAAACCAACGCTTCTACAGATCCATCCATAGGGCACCCAAGCAATATTTCGGTAGTTTTTTCTTAAAAATAAGTAGAAATTAGGTAATTCTGGGAGATTTTTTCGTTTTGGGTATTTGCTTTTCAAATAATCCGTAAATCTTTTCCATGGGCGCCAGAATGCGGTACGGAGATAACTTTCTCACTGCGCTTGGTCTGTAGAAGTAACTAGTCAAATCCTAGCTCTGGCGACATTTTGTTTCCACTGTCGCATCTCCATTTCCCATTTGTTTGCCCAACAACTCCGTATAACCGTGTGACTGTCTGATATTAATGGCAAGAAATAGGTGGTAGTCATTTCTTGCTGTTCTGGAAAATATTCTCAGGAGAAAACAAAGGGTACGCTGAGGCCTTGGTCAAATCGTCTCCTCCCCACCCGTGCGCACTCTTATTCCATTCTTAGTCTGAAGTGTAAATCTTCTCACAGTTCTTGTGTTTTGTTGACCCCTGAGACTACAAACAGCACGCCCTTCGTCATGATTGACTGGCCATGGTTGTATCTTGACAAAACAAATTTTCTCCGGCGCGGCATTTACTTGTGTCTGGAAGGGTAGGCATTACATAGATGTGCTTATCAGTAAGGGAGCAGTTTTATCTCCACTCCGCACTTGAC